GAAAAGGTTTGCCACCTCTTTTTCCGGCCCTGGTCCTACGCAGTTACTGGCTGCCTGGCACACAAACTAAGGAGGCGAAATATTCCAATGCATGGCAGGAGGGAAAAGGTCACTGCTTTAATTTCTTTGTGAAGCTAGTAACCCACCCAATGAATCACTGGGTGTGCCTTGCACAACCCCTCAGTTTTCGGTATCTGCAAAAGGAGGTGTGTAGCCTTCTTGACACGGTTGCAAACAGTACCAGATTTACGTATAAGCTAAACAAGCCCTATAGCTTAGGGCCCCACTCTCTTGGGGGCCCCCAAAAAAAGTTAAAGGGAAAAAACTGGATGTACATTTCCAAAATATAAGATAAAAAACAAATAAAATAAAACCTACATACAGCAACAGTGTTTTGTGTTGTGTTAGGCTCCTATGATGTAACGGGCCCCGCATGCTAGCCTGCTCCCTAAAATATCACTGGTTTGCTCGTTTCTATATATAGGGTGCCTACATTCTGCATGTACAAATGGCTTTAGATACCTATTAGGTCCATAAATTACCATATAGCATATATTCAACACAAAAAAACAGTGACAATTTGTTGTTGACAAAGGACAGCTGGACATATAAAGCTATTACCTTCAGTAGCTTAGGGCCTCATCAAACCTAAATCTGGCCCTGATTGCAAAGAATAACGGCTTGGGGGGGGGATTGTAAAGCACTATACATGCTATAACTGTGCAGTAGAAGCTATTTAAAAAAAAAATAAGATGAATGTCGTGTAGACTAGCCCCTGAAAGAGAAATGCCAGGAGCACATACATTCATGTCTGCCTGTACCATGCAGAAGTCAGGAACTGCACTACAGTCCCAAGAAATCTAAACTGAGTTCAGAGCTGAAGCACAGATACTTTGAAGTAAGCTGCATTGAAATCAATGGGATTTACTTTCAAGTAAATGTTTTTAGGATTGGACTTTTAAGCTCATTGATTTCAGTGGCAGTTGAGCACAGTTAAGTGCTTAATTCTCATTGATTTCAACAGGACTTTCTCTCCCATAAAATCCGGTGGCACCTTGGAGGCTAACTAGTTTATTGTGGCCTGAGGTTTTTCCTCCTCTAAGGAGATACATCTTCATGAATCCACATCTCTTAAAATGAGGTTACCAGCAGAGCAATAATAATAATATATAAAAAAAAAGTCCAGCCAGAAACGCCACTATCCTTTTAACAGAGGTTTGACATGTAGAGATCAGCAACCGTAGCTTTTAATAGCATGGAGTTAAATGTGATGAAACCTCTCTGTCAAAGGAATGGCTGCATCTAGACCCTGCTCAAAATTTGGCAACCTTGTTTAAAATACAAAAACATCTGGCAAATATAAACGGATATGCTTTTTGGCAATTCTCGGAAGGAGTCAGTTGTGGGACGAAACTATCACAGGCTTTGTCCTTAACAGAAAACAAAAAAAAATGTACTCCAGGCCTGAGAAGATCTTTTGTGCCAGGGCAAACTCTGGTGACAGTAAATAATTTAGACACATTTCCTTGCTTGGGACACCAGCCAACACTTTCTTTTAGAAAGGTAACTTGAGGAGATGCCTTAAGGGTTGCTGTATAAACTGCTGACTTACGTGCAGATTAAAAATGGTGTTCCGTGCCAGTCCTGTTGGGTATATTACTATTATATCCACAACTCCCACATAATTTTCTTGTTCTGGGCCCAGTCCCAAACGTAGCCGATCCGGCTCTCATGAAAGGGAAGTTCCGTTCTTTTATCAAAATTGCGTGGACAGAAACTCCTGATAACGGTTGGATTGTACACACTGTAGTTCCACCCTTAATTTTCCTCCAGCGCCATTGGTCCCTTTTCATTTCAGATAACCACACGTTATCTGACAGTGTAACATGTTCCCCAGGGCGAGAACTACCAAGGATATGCGCCGCCTGTAGGCAAGATCATTGGAGACATGGGCCACATTCATACCCAGCACTGAAAGCACTATGGTGCTTCTTTAAACAAACATGGCTTCCCCCCGCAAAGAATTCTGGGAGCTGTAATGGGTTAACGTGCTGAGAGCTTTGAGGAGACCCCTATTCCTCTCACAGAGCAACAACTACCAGAGTTCCCCGTGAAAAGGAATTAATTGTTAATCCAATCTGAAAATTGTAGCTCTGCGGAGGGAATGGGTCTCACCCAATGGCACCCTTAGCAAACTACAGCTCCCAGAATACTTTGGGTGACGCCATGTTTGTTTAGAGTGGCATCGTAGTGCTTTAAGTGTGTGGTTGAATGTGGCCATAGTCTTTTGGTTTATTTGCAAGCAGCCCATATTTATTATTATTTATTGTATTTGTTAGTTGCTTTTCTTACAAATTAACTCAGAGGGCCCATCCACACCATACATTTAAAACACTTTCATATCCCTTTAAACAATCAACAACCCCAAAAGACTCTTGGGAACTGTAGTTTGATAAGAGTTGCTAGGACACACACACACACACACACACACACACACACACCCCTTCCACTCACAGAGTTATAATTTTCAGAGTGGTTTAGAAGGATTCTTTGGGGGATAAACATATGTTTTAAATATATGGCATGTAGTCAGCGGTTCTCTGTGAAAATCTGAAGGCATCCTCTGTTGACCCTGACCAATTCCCTCATCCTCAATCTCTTCCTTTCACAGACTTCAGCAAAGAGAGAGAGAGAGAGATTCTTTCGCAGAGCATATATATTTGCTATGAGGGTGTGAGCTTCTTGTCCTCTCAAGGCGTTTCCTGTATTGTTTGGAAATAGGAGTTCTTTCGCTTTGTATTTGGGGCCTTGCCCAAAATGCTCACTCAGATTGTCTGGGAACAAGCTAGATTTCTGCCTAAAATGTCTCCATGCAACCCTCAAGGAGAGGCGAAAAGCTAAGACCATCTCAACGTGGCTTCAAACAAGAGCAAAAAACGGGTGTTTGGGGCCTGTTTGAGCAGATGCGGTTGTAGGAACACAGCCCGAGGAGGTCATACAAGGATCTCCGCAAGAGATCGGCTATCTGAGCACGAGTCTACCTTGTTGCCATGCCAACAGGTCTCCATCTTCCTCCACCCTAGCAAGATGCCATGAGGCAAAGGGAGTTGTTTTGAGGGCCATTAAAGATAGCAGCAGGATAGAACCGAGCCACCACAATCCACAGGGGAAGGGTCCCTTTGACCAAACCCCACAAAGATGAGCAGGAGCTGTGCAGCAAGACAGGCTGCATACACAATACCAGCTTAAAACACAGCTAGGTTGTACTTTTTCTCAATTTGGATTCGAGGTGGTTTGGTGGGGGGGTGCATCAAAAGGCAGCATTTCCTGAGGAACAACATGATTTTACACCACTTTCCAAGTGGTGGGAGTGGGAGCCAACCGGATGCAGAATAAACAGGAGTGTGTATGCAGTTGCAGTGCCTGGTTTACATGGCATTTGAAAGCCACTTTTAAGTTGAACGCTGTGGGTAAAAGCCTCAGCGCCTAGGGCTTGCCAATCGAAAGGTCGGCGGTTCGAATCCCCGTGGCGGGGTGCGCTCCCATTGTTCAGTCCCAGCGCCTGCCAACCTAGCAGTTCGAAAGCACGTCAAAGTGCAAGTAGATAAATAGGGACCGCTTACTAGCGGGAAGGTAAACGGCGTTTCCGTGTGCGGCTCTGGCTCGCCAGAGCAGCGATGTCACGCTGGCCACGTGACCCGGAAGTGTCTCCGGACAGCGCTGGCCCCCGGCCTCTTGAGTGAGATGGGCGCACAACCCTAGAGTCTGTCAAGACTGGCCCGTACGGGCAGGGGTACCTTTACCTTTACCTTTACCTTTATCGTTTAAAGGCTAGGAAACAGAGCAGACATTGTAGCTGCTTCTTTCTTCCCCCTGCCGGGTGCTAAGCGATGGTTTAGCTTAGTATTACTTCCCAGGTTTGGGATTTATGTCTCACTCTAAGCAAAACACAAGTTGTAACCATGGTTTGTTCTTGGCCTACTGCTCATGGTTTGGGGGGAAACAAACCATGAACCATGTAATCCTAAACTAAACCAAACCAAACCATGGCTTAGCTCCACGCAGTGCAGTTAGCAGCAGGGAAGGAGTGAAAGAGCCATTATCCCCCCCCCCCCGCCATGGACCAGCAAATTGCACATTCACACTTCAACCATAATTAAGCTTAACTACGGTTTATAATTAAATGCAGATAAAGAGAGGGGGCTGGCAAAAAACCTCAAAATACAGGCCAGGATTGGTGAGTGCATACCCTCCAACAATAGGTACGTCTTGTCCCATAACGATAATGATAATTTTATTAGTTATACCCTGTCCCTCTGACTGGGTTCCTCAGCCACTCTGGGCAGCTTCCAACAAACATAATAAAGCATTAAACATTTAAAAATGTCCCTATACTGTACAAGGCTGCCTTCACATGTCTTCTAAAGGTTGTATAGTTACTTATCTCCTTGGCTCGGGGGTCACATAGCTCCATACCCTCTCTAATGAAAATAGGGACGTCCTAAAGAAAAGCGATAGGGACACGGGTGGCGCTGTGGTCTAAACCACAGAGCCGATCAGAAGGTTGCCGGTTCGAATCCCTGCGACGGAGTGAGCTGTTGTTCGGCCCCAGCTCCTGCCAACCTAGCAGTTCAAAAGCATGTCAAAGTGCAAGTAGATAAATAGGTACCGCTCCGGCAGGAAGGTAAACCCCACCTAGCAGTTCGAAGGTATGTCAAGTGCAAGTAGATAAATAGGTACCATTCTGGCAGGAAGGTAAACGGTGTTTCTGTGCGCTGCTCTGGTTCACCAGAAGCGGCTTAGTCATGCTGGCCACATGACCCAGAAGCTGTCTGCAGACAAACGCTGGCTCCTTTGGCCTATAGAGCAAGATGAGTGCCACAACCCCAGAGTCGTCCGTGACTGGACCCAATGGTCAGGGGTACTTTTACCTTTACCTTTAAAGAAACGCGGGACATTTCAGGATCAAATCATTAACCAGGACGGCTTCTGTAAATCTGGAACTGTCCCTGGAAAATGGGGACACCCGGAAGGTCTGTGAGTGGGTTGGTTCCAAGTGCTCACCGTTACTCAAAGCACATTAAATCCCACAGCTGGGGCCTGGGTCTGATGGTGGGGAATAACTGGAGCTCCGCTGCCTCTCCTCTCCACTTTCCAGGAGCTGACATGGCCTATCAGACGGAGTTCATCATCGATGCCCAGCCACAAGCTGCTGGCGCCAGCTACACTTTGAGCAACCAAGGGGCTTGGAATACAGACCTGTTTGACTGCTGTTCTGATATGGGCATCTGTGAGTAATTGGGGTGTGTGTTGGCAACGAGCAGCTCCTTTCTGCCACTCAAGTGGTAGGCTGTACATGAGAAGAAGGAAGGAGGGCTAATGAGCTGTCTGTCAGGCAATCAGAAGAGCCAGGAAACTCAAGATTTTGCCACTGACCCCCTTGATTCCTGCAGCATCGATCCACAGGGCTGCCCTTTCCCTGCCTGCCTTCCCTGGAAAGAGCAAGATTCTTGAAATCAAAAGTTAGCCAACCTAGAAGGGATGAGGGATCGGTTGGTGCTAATGTGTGTGGCTATTTTTATTACCAGCACTTGCAGCAAACCGTTACAGTGTGGAGTGATCTGGTACAGGGTCCCAGCCAGGCATGCCCTTTCCCAGGATACTCCATTACCCATTTCTCCCAAGGTCTGTTCCCCGCCCACTAGTCAAAAAGCATTCTGTTCCCACTGAGCGTGCTCAGTCTGCACTGAGTTGTTGTTGGTTTTTTTGGCCCCCTCTCGCCCCCAAGGATTTTTCTATGTCCATGAAACTTGGTGTTCCTTCGAAACAGATGGCACCTCCCTCATGGGCAGTGTGTGCCTTTTTTATATTGTTACTTAAAACTGCTTGGGGCAATGCAGAAATTAGGAATAGCACGGGCCCTGCCATCAGATTCAGCATCTAAATGTAATGGTGAGCGGCACTGGGGAGAAAATACAGGCGTAATTAGGAGTAATTAGGAAGAATGAGGTGAAGCATTAGGAAGAAACAGGCCGATGGAAGGAATCTTCTGCATTAGGCTTATGCAGAAAGCTTAGGCATTGGGGGACAGTGATGTGTAGTGGTCAGAGTGACAGACAGGATGCAACTGCGACCTGCACTGTGCAAAGAAAGGGAGGCAAGCAAACCAGCTTAGCCAGGGGTCAGCAAACTTTTTCAGCAGGAGGCCGGTCCACTGTCCCTCAGACCTTTTTGGGAGCCGGACTATATTTTGGGGAAAAAAGAAATTAACGAATTTCTATGCCCCACAAATAACCCAGAGATGCATTTTAAATAAAAAGACACATTTTACTCATTTAAAAACATGCTGATTCCTGGACCATCTGCAGGCCAGATTTAGAAGGCCATTGGGCCGCATCCGGCCCCTGGGCCTTAGTTTGCCTGTCCATGAGCTTAGCTAACCCCTCCTCCTCAACCTCACTGCTGCCACCAAGTGGATGTTTTTATTATCTCACTGTCTCCACCAAACAGCTTTTTAACTCTCTAAATTCAACTGGCCCAACCTACTGGTCAGAGCGGTACAGCAACTAGACATGTTTTGAATAACTAGCCCCCAGACCATTCCGCCCGCCAACAAAACCCAAAAACATGCATTTACTGTATTTTTCCATGTATAAGACAACCCCCAATTTTAAACTTAAAAAATTTGGGGGGAAATATCGTCTTGTACACGGAAAAATACAGTACTTAAAGTAATGCATGATTCTATGAAAGCAGCGGTGGTCAACCAAATTGGTGGCCTTCATCACCTCCTGCAATTGCAAGTTCCATAGTTTTAAGTCTGCTCCGCCTTTTGCATGACAGCCTCTTCGGACTATAATCTCTCCCCTTAACCTTCCTTTCTCCCAGCTAAACATATCCATATCCCCTCTAGGACTTGGTTTCCAGAGCCCTCACTGGAAATCATTTGCCTTCCTCCGGATACATGCAGAATGCTTCTGTCTCCCTTCCTCCAGGTCTCTGTGGTACCTTCGTTCCGTGCATCCTTGCCTGCCGTGTGTCAGAGCAGGCAGGTGAGTGCTGCTGCCTCCCATACCTGCCTGGTACTATCGTCGCTCTGCGGACCAGTGTGCGCGAGAGATTCCACATTGAGGTGAGATGTGGGGAGTCAAATCAAGATGGGTGTGGGGAGAGGGGTTGGGGTGCTAGTTAAACTGATGGGCTGGCCGGGGGTGGGGTTGGGGTGAAGTTGCTGTTCTGCTCCAAAAGAAAAGCCCAGTATGTTTTAATGAATACCTTTTTATAGGTTCAAAATTAGGCGCAGGGGAGGAATTTGATTAAGCTCACGTTTAAAAGCAAACCTTGCCAATTTGCATTTTCTGACACAATGCACGAACTGAAACGCAGCCGTCCTTTGAAATTTGCGCTTCTCTGAATGTTGCAACGCAGTTCAAGCAATGTGAACAAATATGCAAATACTAGGGCAAAGTGTGCATTGAAATGCGTATATTACTGCAAAGGCCATACAAAAATGCATTACGTATGGGAACATTGCTTTGCAAAAAATGTGTAAATCAGGCAAAACTGCATACAAACTATATTAAGAGAAATTTGCGTCAACATGCTAATGAGTTTCATAGCAACTTAAAAAAACAAAAACCCTGCAAACTGATGTGGAAATGTGGAGAACTTAAGACTGGGAAAGTTTAAAAAATGAGACAAACCAAAATTGACAGATTTGCCCATCCTCACTCAAAATATGTTGGTAGGTATCAAGCTAGTTATGCACCTAAAACCTACCAAGGAGGAAGACACAACAGGGGTGGATGGGCTGGGTATAAGTAGTAAATCATCATCTACCCATTGCTGGTTTTCTTACCATGATTAGAGTTCATTAGGGCTGCCCAACCTTTCAACTGACCATTGGAAGTCTGGCTTTTAACAGCAGCTTGATGCGCAGACACCAAGTGACAATGTTTTTCTTTTCCGTTAAAACCTTTATTTGCTGACTTCTGCATATTACGCTGCCACTATATGTATGGGGACATCCTGGGCCATTTTATTCCAGTCATTTGGCAGTATTTGATGGCAGGGATTAATAGGAAGGGAGGGCCTCTTCTGTGGTGGCCCCCTGTATTTGGAATACCCTCCCTAGAGAGGCCTGCCTGGCACCTAAGTTGTTTTCTCTTATGCCCCAAGTGAAGTGCCCTTTATTTTCCTGATGGATGTTGCTTGAACCTTGCTCATAAGAACTGGAAACACAATTGCATAGTCAAAAGTAAAGTGCTCTTGCAATTTTTTAAATGCTATAATAATCAATGTGTGGGCGGTGTGCCTTTGCTGAAGCAGCTCTAAGGCTGATTTGCCTGAGTTTGGCCAAAATGAATCCCTAGATGGTTAGGAATTTCAACCTCTGTCTCAATTACAAGCCAGTTTTGTCTCTTGGGAGCTATACAACTTCACCTTCCATTTTAACACAGCCTCTTTGTTTCCGAAACCCAGGGCTCCATTTGTGAGGACTGGGTGGTCATGGCCTGCTGTCCATTCTGCGGCCTCTGTCAACTCGGCCGAGAGCTGAAAAACAAGAACTGAAGCAGAAGGGAAGCTGGCAGACATTCTTCACTCCTGCAGGGAGAACGAAGTACAGTGGTGCCCCGCAAGACGAATGCCTCGCAAGACGAAAAACTCGCTAGACGAAAGGGTTTTCCGTTTTTTGAGTCGTTCCGCAAGACGAATTTCCCTATGGGCTTGCTTCGCAAGACGAAACGTCCTGCGAGTTCTTGCGAGTTTGTTTCCTTTTTTCTTTAAGCCTCTAAGCCGCTAAGCCGTTAATAGCCGCTAAGCCGTTAATAGTCGCTAAGCCGCTAATAGCCGTGCTTCACAAGACGAAAAAACCGCAAGACGAAGAGACTCGCGGAACGGATTAATTTCGTCTTGCGAGGCACCACTGTAGCTGGATCAATGGCAGTGAGGGACGGAGGCCAGCTTCTGAACCCAGAAGCGTATCAACTGCAGAGCAAAATACCTATTGTCCTTGCGCAAGGAAAGAGGAAAAGATACAGCTCTCCTCTGTTCAGCCCCTGCGGTCATCCCACCTTGAAAATTGTGTCAAAATAAAATAATCATTGTCTCAAACTGCATGAGTTGGGCTGTCTTTGTTTTTTTGGAAGAATGGGTTAAGTGAGAATCAGTGTGATCCCCTGGCCCGATAGAAGACTTAGGGCAAGTGGCCAGGGGGTTAAGAAAAGACAACCTGGCCTGCTCCTATCTGTCTAATCAAGGACTCATATACAGAAATCAGCCCATGAAGCTTTTTTAATGGCATGGAAGGAAACTTCTGGGAGAGGCAGAAGTTCTCAGGTTCAATCTTTGACAGCCTGAGTTGAAAGGGTTAGGGCTAAGGTGATGGGAAAGACCTCTCTAGGAGAGCTGCGCCCGTCAGAGCAGACCTGCTGAGCTAAACCAGAAGAACAGATAGTTTGGTCTGATAGAAGGAAGCATTCTTTGATCAGCCTTGAGGATTGAACTCAACCAAGTGCAAGCACTTGTGAAACACAGACAATTGCACATTCCGTGCCTGCTTAGCCATGCAGCCACTTTCTTCCCTATCCTCTGTTGCTTCACCTCTGGTGATCGTAGGCGCCTCAGGGCAAGGACTACTAACAAGGATGGAGCCAAATAAATAAATGATTATCTCAATTGAGTACAAAGGAACTTAATGCTATAAATTAACAGGCCCAACTGAACCATCCCATATTACCTTCTGAGACAGCATAACCCTATGTTCATATATTTGGAAGTAAGTCCATCGGCGTTCAGCTGGGCTGAGGTAACGTGCATAAGAGCAGAACCTCTTTGTTTATCACCACTGTATTTTCATGGGTCTTACAGCAATGTGAGGTCAGGGTGCCCTAAAAGGTGTTTAAAATATTCTATAAATAAAATAACAGATAAACAGATCAGGTTTGCAAAGCTGAGGGAAGATTAACTACCCCATTAAAAACAAAGGGTTGGTCAGATAAGCAAGAAAAAAATCTAGTCCTTTATCCTCGATCCGCCAACAATTAATACAAATACATGAATGCGACTACAGCTGCAAGAATGTTATTTGCCCCAAAGTGGAAGGATGAAGAGGTCACAAAGAAAAAAGATTGGATATAGAAACTAATGGAGTATGCAGAAATGGCGAAAGTTACTGGAAGAATAAGAAATCAAGATAATAAACTTTTAAGAAAGGAATGGAAGTGGTCTATTGAGTATTTACAAACAGACTGTAAACAGATCAAGACATTGGCAGGATTATTGTAAAAACCTGAATATATATATATATATATATATATATATATAAAATATGATGTTGCTGCTGCTGCTGTTGTTGTTGTTCAGTTTGTATACTGTCCATCTGAAGATCATAAGGCAGTTCAAAACATAAAAATATATGAGATATATGTATGAGAATAGATGATTAAAAGAATAAGTTAAGGCAATCTGGAGTATGCAGGAAAGGACGAAAATAAATGTAAAGAACCACAGAAAGAGGGGGAAGGGAGTCAAAACTGAAAATGTTAAAACTTGGTTAATCAATTGTTGTAAATTATTATTGTTATAAATGAAAATTATATTTTTTTAAAAAAAATGATACAAATAAGGACAAAATGAAATACTTATACTGCAGAAAGCACAAACATATCAGACACTACAGTATTCTTATAGATCCGGTTGACTGCATAAACAAGAAAGCCACTATTACCCTCACCCTCCAGATATTTGTGTGTGTGTGTGTGTGTGCTGGGGGTTGTAGTCCAGCAATATCACAGCATTGTAGAGTTGGAAGGGATCCTGATGGCCATCTAGCCCAACCCCTTGCAATGCAGGAATCTATCAGAAGGCCTACAGGTTCCCTAGCAAATGAGAAAAAGGTGAGAGGTGCGCCAGCCAGAAAACAGCAACTAACCACGCACACGTAACAGATATTTTATTGCAACCTTGCCAACCCGGTGTCCCACTTAGAGATTTTGGACTACAACTCCCATCAGCCTCAGCATACAGCCATGCTGGCTAGGGCTGATGGGAGTTGAAGTCCAAGACTAGGTGTGGGGGCGGGCGGTAAAGGCTGCTTTGTTACGCCCATGCGGGGAAGGAGGCGCTTCAGCACTCTCCTTCGCCCTCACTCGCTACGGGAGCTGCAAGCACTGGAAGACTACATTTCCCAGCATGCTCCCCGCCGCCTGCGAACGTAAACGCGCGTTCCTCCTCCTGCCACGCAGCCACACTCCGCTTCCGGCGAGGAGCTGGACCAGATTCCAAAGGAGGCAGGTGAGTGAGCGGGGGGTTCGGCTGTTGCCAGGGGCAACCCTGGATGCAGGGGGAGTCTTGGTCGTAGAGCATCCTCTGGGCCGCTCTGAGGCGGAGGCGCCTGGAAGGGGGCTTAATATTATTATTATTATTTTGCTGAGCTTGTAGCTCCCCTGCCCCGCTTGCAAGTCAGCCAAAAGCTGCTAAAATGTGTGAGACACACCCTGCGCTATCAGGGCTATAGCGAGGGAAGGCCTCGTCATCAGGCTGTGCTCAGGGGATTAGGCGCCCACCCTGAGCCGGTAGTAAACCAAATTGGACACTGCTCCTCTCTTCTCTCCTTAAACCTTGCATCTTGGCTAATAAGGAGGCGGACTTCAGTAATATGGCGCCCTGAGCGAGGGCAAAATTTGACGCTCCCCCTCCCCAATATTTCTTATTTACCCATATGTTTACCCGTATAAATATAGGTGTTGTTATTATTAGGCTTCCTCTTGGCTCTGCACCCTGTGCAGGAGAACTGCCCAAACAGAATATTAAAAACATGATAGAACATCAAACGTTAAAAACTTCCCTAAACACAGTGTACCTTAAAAGCATAATTAACCAATTAGTTATTTAATTATGTTGTCAGTAATATATCACCCTCCTGTTGTGATTCTTCTAATCCAACCAGTCTACTGTTCTGGATCTGCTTGGCACTTTTTTGTGCTAGCTGGCTCCTCTGTACAGGATATATTTGTTTACAGAGCTGTGGGTGGATTTTAAAAGGCACTTGCTGGCTAAGAAAGAACTGCAAATTTTCCTCCCGAAAAGTAAAACTGGTCAGATTCTGCTGCTGAGTGGTTTTATTTGGAATTTGCGCGGGAGAAGGAAGGGTGCAGAAAAAGGCAAACAAGATGTCTGGAACCATCACCTTGGTGCCTAGATAATTGTTGGGTTACCAGACGAAAACAAAGTACAAGGGGCAGCTATGATTTGTAAAAATTCCAGTGGCTGATGCTCCTTGTACTGGGGAGCAGAATTTAGAGGGGGCTACATGCAAGTGAAATAAGCAATTAGGAATGATGTATGTATCCCACAATTCCTCACAAGCTCAGAATATCCTCTCTCTCTCTCTCTCTCTCTTTCTCTCTCTTTCTCTCTCTTTTGGCTTTATCTTCGTGCACTGTCTAATCAAATTACTGAAATCAGAGGGGCTACTGATTTTAAGATTTCCAGGAATCACTGGGAAGAACTTCCACACACTGCATAGATTCTCTTTTCCCATCCCCCTTGGTGGCTACTAGAAGCTGAATAAGTTAAAGAAATTGAGAAGAAATCCTGCAATATTGTTAACTTCCATGATTTTATCCATGACTCAGAATTCCTCTTGTTTTAGAATTTGGGTTAGCTCTGCATAAAAGTTTGTGGGTGGTTTTTTTTGCTTTTGAATACAAGCAACCCTGCCATGTTCAGATGAATGTAGCAAAACAGCAGGTGTATTTTTGTCCAGGTTGCTGTGCCTCATTTCTATACTTTCGCTGGAGTACATTCCCCACAAAGAAGGCTCTCCAAAACACCCACCCCTCACTTTCAGGAAAGTGCCCTTCTTCTGAGCAAGGCATTGTGGGTGAGATCGTCTCAGAGGCCGTCTGCACTGTCAACTTTTTGCCACTCTGGCAGCAAATATTTGTTTAAAGCTAGCTTCTGAAGGCTTAATGTTTTTGAGTAACAGTTGCCGGAAGGCACAGGAGCAGCGGGTTCTCAGGTCCTGCCTTTCAGGTTTCCCACAGACATCTGGTTGGCCACTGTGAGAACAGGGTGCTGGACTAAATGGGCCATTGGCCTGATCCAGCAGTCTATTCCTATGCTCATATATGATTCTTAAACAAATCAGATGTGAAATTGCTGATCTTCTTAACAGAAACATGTAACATGTCCCTAAGATCAGCCTCCACACTTGAGGAGCCAAAGGAGCATCATTAAATTTTATTTTGCCTGTTTATAATGTGTGAAGTGCCCCTTAGATTCTACATCCTAAACCAACAATGGTCTTCTTTCCTAGCTTTCTCTGGACAGCACTCCGATCTCCACACCTGTCTCCGCCACCAACTTCTGAGTGTTACACCTGACTCTTTCCCTCTCCTCCCATATTTCTGTAGCGCTGCCTTCTCTGTAATCGACTGAAGCACGATGGCAAGCAAAACAGGACCCGAGCACCTCTTCAACCCTGCCACTGAAATGGAGACAGCAGGGACCGTGTTGGGCACCAAGTAAGGAGCTGGGAGGGGGTGGGGAGCCCCTTAAATGGGATGGAGCATTATAGTTTTAAGATTGGGGTGAGGAACTGGTGGCCCAGAGCCCAAACCCTGCCCAGTCATTTGGACAGGCCATGCAGACTCTCCTGGGCCTTGCCTCTCCTTGGGGTGGTCCAAA